GTCTCCTAAACTGAACGAAAACCTAAGGTACATTTGATTTTCAAAAATACCACTAAAGCTGACAGAGCAAACATCTATCAATCATACAATGCTTCTAGTTTTAGCTTAGTAAAAGTTCTACGGCGCTTGCAACTGCATAAGGTCATATGAGCGCCAGAAGATTAGAGGTGTTACAAGAGAGTAACAAACATAAAAAATAAGAAGGGGAGAAAAGGACGATATATGTTTGATAGGAAAGAAGGAGTAAACCACTCCAGAGCACCCACCAACCTGCCGTAGAGAGGAGGACGGTGTGACCAACAATGACGATCATGATAAAGAGGAAGAGGAAGGGGAAGTAGAGGATGTAGACGAGGGGTAGAGGGAAGGCAAGGGGATGAAAGGTCGTGTCTGATAAAGAGAAACCGACAATGAAGAGTGGGGAATGAAAACGACGAATATGGGGGAAAAAGCCCCAAGGCAGAAGGCCGTGCCGACAACAACAACAACAACAATAACAAAAGCAACAGCAAAAACAACAAACAGAACAACATCAACAACAACAACAACAAAAACAACAACAACAATAGCAACAACAAAATAACAGCAACAACAGAAAATCAACAACGTCAATTCCAACATCAACAGACCAACAACAGCAACAACAACAACAACAACAACAACACCAACGACAACAATAACACGGTAGAATATCCAGGAAATTGAAACCATAATGTAAGGGGTGACATAGTGACAAGGGGGACGATGAAGAATGAGATAAGAAGGGGGGACAAATTGAAGAACTGCGAAGACTCCGCTAGCCAACCCTCCCCAACCCCGTCCCACACTGATCGATCGATCGACCTAGATCTCTGAGAGCACCCCAAGTCTTAGAGTTGGTGGTCTCCTAAGCTCGATTTGAGCAACGCGGAAGTTCTCGCAAGCGATTTTGGGGATTTACAATGGAAGCAGGAGACAGAATAAAACTACTTTTGGGATTGTTTCGGTCGTTTCGGTGAATTCAGTGTAAACACACGATGGATAGGTCTTGCTATAGGCACATGTACTCACACTCAGACACAGACAAAATTACATATTACACTATCCCTGTATACGTATATACATATTGTAGAACAATTGTATACTTGATTACCCACACAATACGTAAACACACATACACAATACATAAACACACATAAACACAGACACAGACACCGACACACACACGCCCCCTCCCTCTCT